TTCTTCATTTACATATCTGAGATTCCACAAAATAAGAAAAAACCTCTATTAATTTTTATTGTTTTATTATCAGAAAAAACTTCCTTAAATAATATCTTGTGATAACGGAACAAAAATTTATAACTTTATCTATAATAAATATGTCAGGGTAGCTGTACGAAGATTAAATTTTATCTGCCTGATTGTCTTCATTGATTAGTAAGGATTAAAGGATCCGCTTTAAATGAATTAAGCCGCTCTGACTCTCTCCCTCATCTGGGAATATTTCATCTGACATTTTCTCAATAATTTGGCATAAGAACAGTTAATGGCTGATTTGCCTTTTAGCGTCATTTTTTGTAGGTAGAGAAAATTTGTTGAGGATTATTTTTTTCCGCAAAAGAAAATGATTTTGAGATGATTGTGAATGTTGCAGACAAAGTTTGAGCGTTGACTATGGAGTACACATCAAATTTGGTTTTGTCTACTGTCTTGTAGATAGTTCGTTTGTTTTTTGTCGACACGTTAGATATGCGAGGCAGAGGATGTAGATTAGTAAGTGGTTTAACCTAGGTCGGTACAGTCGTATTGGTTCCAAGTTAGCCGTGAATCCTAATAGTTGAACTCAACCGACGCAGTCTGTTTTAGGGATGGTAGCATAGTCGAGTAATATTGTATGAGGGATTGTGTTTCCAGAGGGTTAATGCTACAAGGTTGTATTGGCTTTCATCAAGTTCTATTCGCCAATGTTTGCTCATTTGGCTATTCGCGAAAAGCATAAACACTTATGACAGAACAAAACAGCGGCTCTACCAAATTAAAGGAAAATACCAATGTACAGGGCATCACTCCTTACCCGAAGAGAAGAAAAACTGAATTTCAACTTAAATAATCGTTAAATGTATCTGGTAAACGTGTTCATTTAAAGCTATGGAAATCATTAGACCAAAACAGTATAACGACCGGAAACGATCAACTACAGGTTCATCAACCTGAAGACCTTAACAAGACATTTCACAATGTAAATGTTTTTAGTAAGCACGTATAAAATAATTGACATATTTATACCAAAACTATGCTAATTTTAAACTAGTCAATTATTAAACTAATTAATACGAGATTAATAATAGTAAATACGAACTGATGGAAAACTATGATGTATTTATTTTTTTATAGTAATGTGTGTTTATGAGTTTGCTACTTTGTATACTTATAGTAGTTTGTATACTTATAAGTTAATTGTGAAATTTATTCTTGAAATACGCACACAAAACCATCACTAAAATTGACGCAATATCGAAACTCGTCTGACAGATCAAAACAGTGAGACTGGTGGGTGAGGAAACTACCAAAATACAGGTCTATTACTCCGCAGAACTCATTATATATAATTTTATTACTTAGTAAAAAAAATGTAACAGCAACAATTTGTAACAATTAATAATTTGTACAAAATTTATTCAGTAATAATGCTCTGCAATATTTACAATGATTATTTGGAAATAGTGAGATGCGGACTGGTATGACGTAGGTGTAGAAAAACATTTTATTTATCGTGCAACGTTTCGATCATTATTGAGATCATCTTCAGGGCCTGGGATTTATAAACAGGGTTTAAATCATAAAAATACATGTAAGATGTGGAAAAAATTGTATACAATGCTAGACATTTCAGACTCAATCAATGTATTTGTACACACTCAAAGGGTTTGTTTTCTGTGTAGATGTGTACAAATACAATAATGACACATCTACAAAGAAATTTATTTAGAAATCGAGAGATACTTATTTCAATTACATTTTGGATGTGGAAAAGTGAATTTATACAATGCAAAATATATTTTTTATATATTCTATAAAAGNGAGTAGAAATACTTTGATTGAATATATAAAAAATATATTTTGCATTGTATAAATTCACTTTTCCACATCCAAAATGTAATTGTAATAAGTAAACAATGTTTGTAAATCCCAGGCCCTGAAGATGATCTCAATAAAGATCGAAGCGTTGGCACGATAAAGAAAATGTTTTTCTGAAACCTACATCACACCGACCGCATCTCACGATTTCTAAATAAATTTCGATTAACGGTCACTAATCACCACACATTTCTACACAGAAAGCAAAAACTTTGAGTGAGTACAAGCACTTTGATTGAGCCGAAAATTTCTATCATTGTATAAATTCATTTTTTTCACATCGTTGACATATTTGTATAACTTAAACAATTTTTATAAATCCCAGGCCCTGAAGATGATCTCAATAAAGATCGAAACGTTGCCACGATAAAGAAAATGTTTTTCTAAAACCTACATCACACCAGACCGCATATCATGATCTCCAAATAATCATTAACTTAAGGTCACTATACACCACACAAAACAATTTTCATACCAAAAAAGTTGTCAATTATTTAATTAATTAAAATAATAATAGTTTTATTTTTCATAGTAGTGTTCCTTTGAGACGTTTATTGTTAGTCTGTGAAGTATCTTTTTAGGCGAAATTCGGAAACGCTCTGACAGACCAAAGCAGCGAAAGAAGACGAACCACAATAACATGGACTGGCCAAACTACTGGTTCATTTTGGCAGATATCAGGTATCACGTCTTGTATTATCTGTGTGACCTACAAAATAATTTATAATTTTCTTGTAGGGCTTTCTTTGTTCGGTTCCTTCCAACTGGGTTTCGTGAAATTTCACCAGTCAATCATAATATTTATTTAGCCGATGTCAAAACAATGTCATTAATTGAAATAATTAGCCATGGTAACTCTTTTTCATAGTAATGTTGTTAAATTACTAGCAAAAAGAAATAGTAGGGGCAATTCTAATTATTACAGAATTGTTTTTGTCTGTTGATATTGTGCAGAATTAAAAAATTAATGGCTGATTTTTGTAAAAAGAGAAATAAAAAAAGTTATTTCGATATTCATAAATCACTTCTCGGTTGACTCATTTTGGCTGGGAAATAATTAGCAAAGCCTCGCGTCAGCTGTCCCGTGCCAGTCGAGCGGTTCCTATCTACGTTTTTACTTTTGACAAGACGGTTTAATTTCGTTAATTTATAGTGAGATTTTTTCGTAAGATTTGTACCAAAAACAAGCGCGGAAGATGACAAAATAAGCATACAAAAAAATACACCACTGAAACTGACGCAATATCGAAACTCGTCTGGCAGTTAAAAACAACAAGACTAGGCGGACCAGATTAAGGAACGACCATACTATAAGTTAATTACAATACTTCAAATATGTCAAGAAGAAATCTAAAAATATAATATGCCAGTAAAAAGTGTTTCAGTGGTTAATCATAAAATTCATTTAGTTAACCCACTGTGTAACGTTGGTGAATCCTAGCTTCTTTTTTTTTTCCTTCCATCCGGGTGTCCTGGAGTTAGGTAGAGACTCCAGTTCTCGGTATGGCTACTAATAGAAAATACTAAGAGCAAATACGGGCTAAAACTGTGGTGTAATTTATAGAAACAGTCAAGTGTAATTGCAAATTGTGGTCCTTTCCGAACATTCTGGTTCTCGCTGTTTTTGTTTAATAGTTGTAATTTATTGTTAGATTTTTTTCTTAAAATTTCTACAAACGACCAGCACTGAAGATAGCGATGTTGCGAAACGTGCCCGATAGACAAAAAGCGAGACTAGCCGGACCAGAAGAACAGGGAACGGCCAAACTACAGGTCTATCACTCACAGACCTCAATATCACAATGTAATTACGTGCCAGCAAAAAGAGTTTCAGACTTTTAGCGGTGAATCATAATATTTATTTCGTAAACCGGTTGATCAATGAGGTCAGTGAGACCTAGCCACATTTTCTTATACGGCTTTCGTTTCTTCCCTTCCATTTGTTTCCGGGAGTTCACTAGAGACTACAGTTCTCGGGGTTTTGCATTCGGCTACCTAAGCAAATACGAGCTGATATAAAACTGTAGTGCTATTTATGAAAACTTTTACGTATAATTACAAAGTGCAGTCGTTTCCGAACATTCTGGTCCGCATAGTTTCGCTTTTTATATGAGATTTTTTCTTGAAATTTGTACAAAAACCAGGGCGGAATATGGTGAAAATCCGAAATGTATTCGACCGAAAAAACCGCGAGACTAGGCGGACCAAAATAACAGGAACGACCGAACTACAGGTTCATTACCTTACACATCTCAACAAGAAATCTCACTACATAATTAATAATTCCATACCTATAAAAAGAATTTCAGCAGTTAATCATAAAATTTATTTATTGTTTTGTATTATCGGCGTGACCACATTTTGCATTCCTCTTCCTGAGATAAATACAAGCTGATGGTAAGTTATAACATAATTCAAGGAAACGTTTACTTATAATTACATAGTGCAGTTGTTTCCGAACATTCTTGTCCGCACAGTTTCGCTTTTTTGTTTAATAGTTGTAACACTTGTTAATTTTTGTGACATTTTTTCTTGAAATTTGTAAAAACGACCAGCACTGATTATTTATAAATATTTGTATATTTGTAATTTATAGAAAATGTTCAGGGTAATTGCGAAACGGCCCGATAGAGAAAAAGCGAGACTAGGCGGACCAAAATAACAGGAACGATCAAACTACTAGTCATTACCTTTCAGATTTCAAGAACAAATCTCACAATGTAACTAGTAATTATCTGTAAAAGTAATTTCAGCGGTGAACCATAAAATTTATTTAGTTAATCTTTGCATGTAAAAATATTGAATGTTCTTTATAACAAAACAATGTTATTAATTAACAGTACATTTTTCATAGTAATTTAGTGAAATTGGTAGGAAAAAATTAGTTAGGAATATTTTAATTATTACAGAAATTAGAAGCTTGATTTTTAGTGTATTGATGTTGCGTAATATTTAAAATGAGCGGCAAATTTTTGAAAAAAGATGTTTGTCACGGAAAAAAAAGAAGGAATTTCCATATTCATAAATTACTCCTCGGTTAACCCGTTTGGCGGGAAAATAATAAGCAAAGCCTCCGCCGTTAAGTCGCGTCAGCTGTCCAGTGCCAGTTTCGGCAGTTTCGACCTCCGTTGTGTACTTTAGACACGACGGTTTATTTTCGTTTCGCGTCATTTCCAACTGCACGACATGATCGCTTTGCACATTACGTAAGTTTTTTAATTATTCAAGAGTCAATATGTAAAAAGTAAATGTGTTAATAATTGGCCGGGGTGTGATTGGATTGCAGCCTGTAGAAAATTGGTTCAACTTTGCCATCTCCTCGTCCCTTTTACCGAGGATTAAAACAGTTTTCGATTTGAATTTTCAGGTTTAAACGTCAATTTCGATTTAAAAAACTAAAGATTAACGTTTTTATATTCGACTCAATTTCGTTTCAACATAACGACTTACGGATAAAATTATCACATGTTCCCAATGAAATTAGATAATTTTTTATTCCACTAATTAATATCATTAAAATAAAACAATCTGCGTTTAATTAATTACACAGATTAATCATTAACACGTGGTAGGATGCCAATCGACAAGCCTAGATCAAAAAATAATACTGACACGTGCATGTTTCTGAATTTCTTCTTTTAAGTATGAAGAAAAAAATGCTTTTTTTAATCGTACTCTTTCTAAAATTCTAATAAGAGTTTTAAGCTTTAGGTACTTTTGGGTGTACAATACATTCAAATTGAAATTTATTTTGTAGGTTTTTTTGTCAGTTGAACTTCATAGCCTTTTTTAAAGGTTATACTAACAAGGCTAGGCTATGAACGCGAGATCACTGATTTTAACGAAACTTTTTTTGGTAATTCTAATTAGTGGAATAAAAAATGAACTAATTTCATTGGAACATGTGTTAATTTTGTCCGTAAGTCGTTATTTTGAAACGAATTTGAGTCGAATATGAAAACATTCATCTTTAGTTTTTTTTCTATTTTTAAATTTGTTATGCATGCATTAAGAAGTTTTTGTAAAAGTTTTTCCTTACAATTTATTTATATAATCATAATTCCGAATTTATTTTTGGAAAACTTGCCAATGTTTGAAACAAAAACAATAATTACTTTTTAAGTTTCATGAAGGAAACTTGTCTACAATTTATCGGATTCGTTTTAAGCACTTTTTAAAGTCCATAAATGAATTTTTATGTTACACTAAAATAGACATTATGGGGCTGGATTCGCGTGGGTCATTTGTTTTTCCCAGGTGCCCCTGTTGTTCCATATCCGGTTGAAATTCATAACCCCTGTTTATTTTTTCCAAATTCAACGTTAATACGACCGTTGGAATGCTGAACATTTTTATTTATAGACTATGCCAACAATATTGGGATTTTATGGCGTTTCAGGTTAATAAAATAAGTGTGAAATCAACAAAAACTCAAATAAGTTTTTAATCAATCCCCTATTGTAGTTTATTTACGCTTTGTGCCATTCATTGGTGTAGTTTATGAGGTTCTGAGTTCCTTAGATCGATAGAATCGTTTCAACATAAAAATGCACCAATCACAATTTTTGCGATTGCCGACAAAACTCGGAGGCAGGAAGGTGAACTTTTTGAGAATATTCAGAATTTGTATTCACGGGTTTTTTGGGTGTTAAAAAGGAATATTAATTATGTGAATATTAATAATTAATTAATGAATATTAATCAATTAATGTTGATTTGTTTACACACAAAAATACAAGTACAAATTTTAGGGAAAATCAACAGATTTTTTTTTTCGGGTATTATGTTATTTTATCGGAAAAGAACAAAATTAACATACATTAAAAAAAATATCTCATTGTTTTCTGGTCCTTTGGGTTACTAATTTTCGGAATATTTATTTTTACTTGGCGACTTCCAAGACAATTCTAGCACAATTAAGAGGGAAATGAACTGTTTTATTGTTTACTAATCAAAACAACAAAGATTGAGATTAAAAAAGTCAGCTGTCGAGTATTCCATTTTTTTTTATTTCGCATTAAAACAAAATTATACACCCATGAACTACATAAATATACTAACATTAAGTAACAATTAAATATTTATTATGAGATAAAGTGTTTGGATCCAGCAGAGGAGCTTGCTGTCCGGTAGTGTGTAAACACTCCTCAGTTTTTTGTTTTTTTTTCAGACTAGCAATACATTGTGTAGATCTCGTTACCATACATGATTCAGTTCGGATTAGATCTTTGGCCGTTTTTATGGAGCTGTTCTCCACATAGGATATGATCCGTTCGAATTCTATGGATAATGCTACATTCTTATCTAGTCAAGCGAAGGATTTTAAACCAAGGATTGTTATGAGAGAAAAAAGGTTTTTTTTTATCCGAAACAGTGTATGTATGATTGTTGCCAGTCAATTGTATATTTCTAATAGTGTAAAGTTCCACACTAAGTTCTAAAATCTATGAGATACTAAGATGAACGGTTTGGATCGAGTTAATTAAAATTATTTAAATTTGCCTTATGATTATCATATTAACCAGAGTTGTGATATATCAGCAATATTTTTGGGTGAGGGGGACGGGTCAGAAATTTCACGGACGAGGCTTAGTGGACCGGATCGCGGTATTTTAGTAATCAGGCAAAATAATCGAACCCCCTTTCAAAATATCGAAATTTAGAGCCAAATTTATTCTTTAGGATACAATATCAGGGCTACAAACAAGGTTGAAAATATTTTATTTTGAACATTTTACAAAAACACATTATAATATTTGTTTTGTTTTGTTACAACAAAAAATTAAATTGGTTATCTTAAAATATTGTGTATTTAGTATATACCAATTTTTTGTAAATTCTAACGAATCAAATTTAAATCGACTACTCAAAATTAACCCCCCCCCTTGAGATCTACCCAGTTGTTATCTCATTTTGTAGGTGCCATATTGGGACTTATTACGATAAAAAAATCTCAACCAGATCTGTCCCGTATCCAAAGTTTTAAAGAAAATAATATTTAAATTTTTGCCTACGATCGCTAATTATTAACATTCATACCTCATAAGTTCACAATCCCATTCTATCTGATGTTCATGTACAATAAACGACTATGAATATTTTGGAAAAGGTTTCATTTAAATCATGTGAGTACTTTCCGAGAAAACGGGTCACAAACGAGCTTTTCAGTTACTCGAAAGTTCCGCTAAGTTTCAGCTTTTTATCCAATTTTGTAGATGGCATCTTGGATTAACTAAGGTAAAAAAAATCCCAACATAACCTGCCCCGAATCAAACGTGTTTTATGAAAAAGTATTGCAGCTTCAACTAAATAGTGGTTGTAAGCTAATGTTGACAATTCCAAGAAAGTTAAATGGGACAGATCTGGTTGAAATTTTTCCGCAATGCTGCGCGTGGCGATTGGTAGAACCAAAAATAAAGCTATAACAGTCCTTGAAGGATTGTTGTAGTTTGTTATGGTTTTGTATTGTGTTAAATTGTGAGATGCCAGAAGTTAATAAAAAAGGCAAATTAATCAACTCTTTCATTCAAAATACTATCTATGCACTGGAAAATACTAACAAAGACACGCTTCAATTCGAGCCAACATATCTAACTTGTATCCTAACGTCCAACAGCCTACAAGTTTATAGGATGTATTTATCATGAATGAGAGTATAAGGACAGTTCAGAAATTAACAAAAGAAATGTATTGGTCTGATTTAATTAAGAAAATACGTGTAAACAAAAAACAGCTTTTAAATTCAAGGCTGCCATGTTGGTTACTTACGCCCTAACGGATAGCAAAGTGACTACATTTTTAACACGTAACATTGGCTCTGGCCTATTTGATCGAGCAATGCTAACTAGCCGATTCTTACAAGTCTACGTCATCATTTTTCTCGATCTAACAGGACCTAACAGACTTAACAGGGTTAGCACAAAGATCCTGAATACCCCTAAAATCTTCTGCAATAGGTTCACTGTCTTTTTTTGTACATTGATCGAAGACAGTATGAGATTGTAATCAGAGTATTGGCTTGCATAACATTAATAATTAGCGGTTGCAAACGAAAATTGAAATATTATTTTAATTAAAATTTTTGATGCGGGAAAGAATTGCTTCAGATTTTTTACAGCAGTTAGTCCGATATGTCACTTACAAAATGAGATAAAATGCTCAGTGAAACTCTGGAGTATTTCTGAGCGATTTATTTATAATATACAAACTAAAATACTATAAAATTTATTATGTAGGAAATTTAATAACAAATACAAAAAATACTGTATACGAAATAAGTACGACATTTAGAGATAGTAAAGTTAATTTTTGTTTATGTTAAAGTTAAGAGTAAAAAAAAATTATGTGTTTTCATAAAATGTTAAATAGTGGGTTCAAAATTAAAATATTTCCAAATTGTTTGTAGCCTTTTATATTGTTACCTAAAGACGAAACTTTGCCCAAAATTTCCATTTTTTAGTGAAGTACATTTTGTAGATTTTTATTTTACCTCAGATATCGCGATCCGTCCCGGTGCTCGAGTCGGGAATCGAACCCACGACCTCGGGTCCTCGAGCGAAGAGTGAGACATGCTAACCACTCTCGCGGTTTTGCTAATTGTTTTTTTCCATGTTTATGACTAATTTATCTGCTTCTTCATTTCCGTGATGCCAAAATTTCTTTTAATCCACGCAAATGGTATTTTATGGCCTTCTGCATTTAAGGCGATAATTATTTTTATAATAGTAACGAATAATATATATATATAAAACATACACTCACACACACACCCACACACACATACACACATATACATATGACTTTTTATTTTCCAATTTGTGTATAACAATTGAAATTGTCTGTACAAATCACCAATAGTGAAATGTTGGTCAAGGAAATAGGCATTAGTGCCATTTTAATAGCCATCAATTGCGCAGAATTGATTGATGTTTCAAGCGGAAGTGGGATTATTTCCCTGTTTTTACGTTCTGAATCAAATGAGGAAAACTAACTTCGATAGCCAAAAAAGTATAAAAACGCCGGTATATGTAAAACGATTAGTGATTAATGGATTACAAGAAGAAAAAGATTTGATCCACCGCTAACAGAAGTTGTTTGAGTAGTCATTTATACTATAACAGCCAATTTGAGTGAATGTCTCTCGTCCATTCTTAATTGACTACTGTATAATGTTAAAGGTGAAGCTCGATGGTTTGTTATTCCCGTGAATTTTAAGTATTCATTTACCCTGTTCCTTTAATCAATATTTGAGATTGAAGGATTTAAGGCTTTAACAAAATCCCTTTACCTAGTGATCTGTTTTTGTTATTTCAGAGTGTCTGATATTTTTCAAGAAATGTGTAGAGATTAGTGACCGTTAATCGATAGTTATTCAGATATCGTGAGATGCGGTCGGGTGTGATGTAGGTTTCAGAAAAACATTTTCTTTATCGTGCCAACGTTTCGATCTTTTATTGAGATCATCTTCAGGGCTCAAAGTGTTTGTCTTCTGTGTAATTGTGCCATCCTTGCGTGTCGTGTTGAGAGTGCCGTACTTTGAGCCCTGAAGATGATCTCAATAAAAGATCGAAACGTTGGCACGATAAAGAAAATGTTTTTTCTAAACCTACATCACACCCGACCGCATCTCACGATATCTGATTAACTATTTTTCAAGAAATTTAGTTTTTCTTACGTGCAGATATTTTTTTCGGAGTCACCTGTGTTACCATTGTTACCATAGTCTCCTTTTCTTCCATGCGACCTAAATGGTTTATTGGGGAATTGATCCTTCTTTACTTTCATACCTTTAAAGTACATAGTTGAACACTTTTCGGCTGTATCGTTTTCTGGAGCTTTCTATCTTAACTTAAGATTTTTCCTTCTCGAAGGTGGGATCATCACAAAAAAACATCAACTAGTTTTTCTTTCAATCCACAACGTTTCGGATTTATTTTAATCCTTCCTCAGGTGAGTTAACGAAGTAGTTAAAACACTGGTTTTGTAGTTGTTTTGTTCGGAGTCTGAAATACTTAAATATGTACCACACTGGCTCTTTTTTAAAATAGAATGTTACAAAATATTAATGACTGACGACCACTGTTTTAACCACTGCGTTAACTCACCTGAGGAAGGATTAAAATAAATCCGAAACGTTGTGTATTGAAAGAAAAACTGCTTGTTGTTTTTTTGAGATAACCTATTATCCCTCCTTCGAGAAGGAAAAATAAGTTAAACTGTTGAGGTCGAAATATAAGAAAACATCCTTTCTGTCTTAGTTATTCCTATTTTTTAAAGGAGGTAATTGAATGAGCAATTTCCCATAATACTTGCTCGCACAGACAAAGTTGATTTTTGTCCTGGTTGAGATGTGGGTAACTTCTTGCACCTGGTCAATTCATCCAATGTTATCTAAAGTGTGGAGGTGTGCTCATTTTTCTTCGAGTTGTCACCCAGTTCGTTGCCTCAATCCCATCCTTGCGCTGCTTGACAGTCTGAGAATGTTTAATTCTGTGTACCTTTATTTTTTTTTATGTTTGAGTTTATTGGGAAAATTTTAGTTTTATTGCGTGGATCACCTTGGAAATTTAATAGTATGGAAGCTGGAGGTTTAGATTTTTTGATTTTTAAGTCTTGGACCCTTGCACGACTCTATGTTCCATTGAAGATCGATGTTTGTTGTGTATCCTTGTGTTATTTTGATCTGTCAGACGTATTTTTTGTTTGTTTATTTTTCTTCATTTCTTTTTACTATGACTACATTGTGACGTGTATTCTTGAAGCCTGCGAGCTAATGAACCTGTAGTTGGGTCGTTTCTGATCATTTTGGACCTCCTAGTCTGGAGTGGTTTGTCTTTGGTAGAAACACACTTCGTTCGTTCTTTTACCTTAATTTATTTTTTCTATTTTGATCTACCTATCAGATATGTATTCTTGAAATCTGCAAGGGCCATCAGGGTAATAAACTGTAGTTAAGTCGTTTTTGATTAGTTTGGCCCTCCTAGTCTCCTAGGAAGTCATGTTGTTTGTCATTCATACGCCTTTATTTTGTTCTTTTTTTAAATTAGTTTTACTATTATTACTATTACTTTTTTCTATGGAATTACATATATATTCTTGATCTGCGATGTAATGAACGAACGTAGTTTGGTCGTTTCTGATCTGTTTGATCCTCCAAGGCTAGAGTTGTTGGTCTTTCAGACGCCGTTATTTTTTTAATTTTTGTATTAGTTTTGTTTTGTTTTGTTCATTTTTTTTTCTATTTAATTACATTGTGATATATATTCTTGATATATGCGGTGTCAGTTAAACCCGTAGTTAGATTGGTCGTTTCAGATTAATTCGGTCCTCCTGGCCTCGAGTTTTTGGTCTTTCACACGCTTTTTTCTTCTTCATTTCTTTGTACTGTATATTTATATCATAATATTAATATATATTCTTGATACCTGCTGAGTTATGAATCCATAGTATGGTCGTTTCTCATCATTTTGGTCCGCCTCCTCTTCTAGCTTGTGATCTTTCAGACACTTTTGTTTTTCATACAATAGACGGATTATATTCCATATAATTAATTGTAGACCTTCAATATTATACGTGTGTATTATTTAAATGTACGTTTAAAAAAAAAAAAAAAAAACAATCTGTGATCAAACCAATAAAATAGAAAACACTCAGTTCCAGTAAAAGGGCTTATTTTATTATGGTAGTTCGGGCTATGCTTGATATCGTTTTCTGTAAATTAATTTTTGAATTTAATTATACTTTCAATGTGTTTTAATAGAAACGTGAATAAATATTGGACAATTTTTCATATTTGTGAATCATATAAATTATTAATTAAAGTTTCAAAGTTCGGCTGAAGGGAATTTTTCTCGGACTTGCTTTATTAGTCAAGTTTTCTTTTTAATTGCCCTGATCCCTGATTGTTTTTTAAGTACAATTATAATATTAAAAGTTGATCGTTAATTATATCGGAGTAAAGTACAATTGTCCCACGTATGATCGGACGTGTAAGTTGGTCGTCCGTATTTATGAATTTGACAAGTTAAATTTAATATTTAATTGAGTAAATTAATTATAATCGGTTTTTAAGTGAAAATTGGTGTTGATAATATTTTAGTTCATTATTGTAATTTTTTTCACAATCGCAGAAGACTATTTTACAAACAGTAATTATTTTTTATAGGTTGGAAGAATCGGATAAAACATTTTTTATATTATCGGTTTTATTCTGTCGGTATCACCCTCGTATAAGGGTGGTTATTTTTACCTAAACGAAATTTAATTAATGGTTCCTAGGCAAAAGTTTTTTTTTTGGAGTTGGGGGAATCGATTGTTGCACGATTTGCGTTAATTTTTAACGAGCGGATCGGCCAGCCTTTGGACGAGGCCGACAGTTAAGTAGTGGTCTTGAAAACTATTGATAGAAAATTAATTGTGTTTTACCGGAAGGAGAGGTCCGTCGGCCAGGAGGTGGCTCGACCGGGTGGGCCCCCAGCGAATCAGGGTGGTATAGATCGAGGCTGGGGCGCATGCCGTGGTGGCGGAGCCGGTGGGGGCGGCGCCGTGGTGGGGGTGGCACGCTATCAGAAAGGCCTCCAGAGAGAGCCAGGCGCATTCCCCCACTCACACTGACACGCACACACTCACACCTGCACTCACACAGACACACACGCGACACTGGTACCCACGTGACGGAACCCCTCAGTCCCGCCTTTGATTCTGAAGGAGGAAGGTGAAGTGATGGTAAAGCTCCCCAAAAGTTCACAGGCATCACGCACAATCTAAGTCCCTCCCTGGCCGATCCAAGCCGCCCCGTCGATAATCCTAACCCAGTTTAACCGTGGATCCTTACAGTTCGTCCGGTCAGAAGAGAATCCGGGCGTCTCTCGGAACCTTGTCCGACTCGTCTGCTCTACTCAAGAGGTCGAGGATTGAGCCGACGATGAACGCAGGGGCCCAGGAACAGCAGCTTGCCATATGCCAGAGCATGGATTCTGTCAATAATCCAACACCCGAGGAAGAGGTGAGTCAATTTTCATTTATTATCCTATCATAAAAATCAAAATACATCATTATTGTTAAGCCTTGCGAACATTCAGTTTCTTTCTATTCTCTTAGCGCAAAATTCTTTTTTTGCAAAATCTTTGTTATTTATTTCTCCATAAGTCGCCAAAAAACCACCGCTATCGACCAAAAGAAAGTAAACCCAGATAGAAATCTTTTTATGACGACATAATAATTATAACGTCGAAGCGTTTTACGTGGCGAATGACGAACGCGCAAGTCGGAAATATTGCATTACCCTGGAAACGGGAGTACAACAAAAATTGGCTACCTCTTTTTGTCGACCTTCGGCCGCAATTCGACCCCCGCTGCTCTTCAATTGAACCCGGCTCTTGTTATCCTCCTGAGACAACCTTTTGTGAAAATCTCCGGAAAAATGTAAAATTTGCAATAGTTCGCCTTGGGTAGGAGAAATTGTTGTCAATTCTTACATTAAATCCACCAAAATTACTCTTAGAATATATCTTAAGATATATAACCACTAGGTGATAAAAACAATCCTCTCTTTAAATTGATCCTCTACTTTAATCCATAAATTTACAAACTCCCTTGTAGTAAAAACAATTCTTAATTTTTTACCGAAACGAAAGTGTTTTTTTAATTATTACTATGACGTCGTGCGATTAGATTAACCTTGAAACTAACTTGTAACTTATTGATAATATCGAAAATTTAGTTTAGCTGGAAAAACAAGTATTTCTGCATAATTGCCGATAACGGCGATAAAAGAGAATTTCTTTTGAGGAAAAAGCTTTTAAAAACTAAATCTAATCATTCCCTATAAATGTTTTACATTGAAATATTTACAACTAATATTATTAATACTATTTAGGAGTAATTTAAAAAAAAGCTTTCAAAAAAAAATTTTGAAATTTTTAAACCGTAGAATTTTTAGAATTTTGAAAAATTTCAGTATAATAACCGACCATTTTATGTTTTAACCCGTGTTTTTATTCACACGCGCCCAATTTTAATTATTGTGATTTAGTTTTTACCATGTTTATAACATAAAATCCACCATAAAACTACAGTAAACGTTCAACAACGAATGGCAGGTTTTGTATAGAATTTTAAACCGCTTAAATACCGCGAAAGTGACTTAATTATTTGTATCCTTTCGGAGTAAAGAGTAAATATTAATTTAATGCAAAATTTGAATATAACGGGCAAGTATTTCAATTTAATCGTTTATATATTGAAAATAATGGCGTTTAAAGCTTTGTTTCATATAAACGATATCCGTTTGATGTGTTGTAATTATATAGGATAGAGCAGACCGTAAACTATTTTCATTTTATTTTAACGATGTAAACTACACTTCCTAGAAAAACTAAAAAAAGATAAAATTTATAACTAGTTCCTGTTTAAATGCTGGAAGGGGAAAACCTACTAATACTAATTACATTATAAAGCTAATTTAACTTGTATATATTTAATCATATAGTTAAAGGAACTTTTATACTCGTCTGTTAATTATTGTTTTGCCATCAGTTATTATACCCTCTTTTTTATTCACGCCTGAAAAAAAGGACAAATTAAAGTTGTTAGTCATTAATCGAGGGTATTTGAGTTGTTCATTTACCGTCTATGTCACACTTGACAACATTTAACTGTCTCACCTAGTTCAATGTTTTTATCTTATCCTCGTATAAAACTGAAAATATATTTGATTTTGATATATTTCTATTAACCATATTTTATATTTTATTACCTGTCAGGTCGGATTCTCCTTGATTAGTTGGGTTCGAACGCAGCTAAATAGGACATTTTCACAAATCTCCAGTTATTACGTAGAATTAAGATTTCATGGATATATAATAAATAATGTATTAGGTTGTAAGGGGGGGGGAATAAGCAATGCTTGACGGGATTGCATAAAACCGATTGTAGGTATTAAGAGAAAACGAAGCTTGTTTTTCTTTGCATAGGATTTGTTTAAAAATGTCCCGACATTTGGTGCAAAAATTGCTCAAAATATTTTCCGGTTGTTATTAAAGAAATTTCGTTTCGGAATAACAGTAGTAATTATTTTTTACAAATTTTTTTGTGTGTTATTTTTATCGGATTTTATAGACATAGATGACGGCAAAAACAGGGATTTGGGCCAAGTTAAACATATTACAATGGTCATTGTTCAGTGTACAACATTTAAAATCTGATCTTCCCCGACAAAAGGGCGCAATCTCGAACGGGATTATAAAAACAATCCTTTAAGCTTATAATAAAACGGAAATATTTGATTTCGACCACAGTGGATATGTTGTTCTTTCATGCCCTAGCAACTGTCGTCGGGCAAAACAACGCCGTCACGCAACTGGGCTGCCCCCGTGTTTTATTCAATACGTTTTATGTTTTATAACATGCACCAGGTCGAATTGATCCGATGAAGAAACTCACCCCATTTACGGTTGAATTTTCCAAATGAAAATTTCCCATAGGTTTTTTCTCAATACGTTTTGTATACAAAATCAATAAACCGTTGGGATCAAAGCGTGAATTTTGATTTTCTATTTGCTTAATTTTCAAGCAGGTATAATTAATTTGTCGTCCTCCATTTTGTACGCAACGTAAATTGTGCTCGGTGCGAGTTACGGGTGAGCCGAATGTTTGCGTTGTACTTAATATTAATCAATTAACTGCAATTACCCGCCTATTGACTCCATTACTGCTTGTAATTCGCAACGCTGCGGCGTTTTCATTCTTGATAAAAAATCTTTATTTCAAAATAAGTCCTTAAATATCAGTGAGTTTAACGCTTTACCACAATCTGGATCACCATTTTGATTTTTCTATATTTCTTGTATGTGTTAGCAGTTAAAAATAAAAAAACAAATTGTCTATGAAATGAGCTTACAAGTAGGGTACAAGTACTAGCAACGAAAGTAGGATTCAAATAATTGTTAAATAAAGCTATCTTAATTTATTGAATTTGTAGATTTACAAAAACAATATTCAATCTAGACAACTTAACCTTACAACTCGAAGGTAGTACGAAAGATGGACATAAAGTTACTAGTGTTACTTTCCAACCAAACTTCTACAATATAGTTTTGCTTAATATTTGCACTTTTTAGCGTGGCAGGTGCTTAATACCCGTTGTACTAGAATGCAATATCCATGAAAGTACCAAGAAAGATGACGAATAATATTATTTTGTTATATGATATTATGTTTTATTTCTATTCGGAAAAAAGTTCATTTTAACGTAATGGTGGTTTTTGCCACAGGTAACAATATGAAAGAATTTTGCTTGTGGTGTCCGGGGATGCCCTTAAGCGAGGTCTTTCCGATCATTTTAGTCCGGACAGTCTCGTGTTTTTGGTCGTTCAAACACTTTGTATGTAATTTTCATTTTATGTAATTACGTTGTGAAATGTATTCTTGAAGTATGTGACATAATGAATCTATAGTTTGGCCGTTTCTGATTATTTTGGTCCGGCTAGCTCGCGTTTTCGGTCTTTGTTTTTTAAAATATCTTTTTATTATGTGATATGTATTCTTGAAGTCTGCGCCTTAATTAACCGTAGTTTGGTCCACTTGGTCTCTAGTTTATGGTGTTTCAGACCGTTTTGTTTTTCGTTATCTGTTTTTACTACGTAGTTGCATCTGCGGGGTACGAACCTGCAGTATGCTCGTATTCGATCGTATTGGTCTCCTGAGTCTCGTGTTTTTTTTATCTTTCATAGGCTGTACGTGTTCTTTCGTTCTTTTTCTTCATCCCTTTTCACAATCCAATTACATTGTTATATATATTCTTGATGTCTCCCTGGTAATAAATCTGTCGTTTCTGATCATTTTGGTCTGCCTAGTCTCGCATTTTTATCTTTTCTACGTATTTTTGTTATTTAAGATAATATGTATTTTTTAATTCTACGTTCTATGTTTGCCGACTCTCGTGGTTTTGTTCTTTCAGAGACTATTCTTTTCTTGATTTTTCTTAATTTCTTGTTATTAGGTAATTATGTTGTGATATGTATTCTTAAAGTATGCGGTGTAATGAACCAGTAACGTTTCTGATCAGTTCGGTCCGCCTGGTGTCGAGTTGATTCTCTTTCAGAGGGTTTCCATTTTCTTTTCTTTATTTTTCTTAATTTATTTTTCCATGTACTTAGGTGTAGATATATATTCTTGATACCTGCGGTGTAAGGAACTTGTAGTTTAGTCGTTTATGATCTGTTTGTTTTGCCTTGACACACGTTTTTGTATTTCGGACGATTTTATTTTTCTTTCGATTTTTTAATTTCTTTCTTCAATGTAATTACATTGTTGAGTGTCATTTCGAAGTAACCGCGATAGTGATTCTGTAATTTTATTGTTTTCGATCATTTCAGACAGCCTAATCTCGTGTTTTTGATCCTTCAGACGATTTTTTTTTAAAGTTCTTTTAGTAGACAATCTACCTACTAAATTGTTATATGTATTTATTGTTTGAAGATCGTTAGATGAGGTCTGGTGTGACGTAGGTTTTAGAAAAACATTTTCTTTATCGTGCCAACGTTTTGATCTTTATTGAGATCATCTTCAGGACTCAAAGTGTTTGTTTTCCGTGTAGATGTGTCATTCTTGTCGAAGAGAGTGTACTCTCAACACGACAGACAAGAATGACACATCTACACGGAAAACAAATACTTTGAGCTCTGAAGATGATCTCAATAAAGATCAAAAAGTTTGCACGATAAAGAAAAATGTTTTCTAAAACCTACGTCGCACCAGACCGCATGTCACGACCTTCAAATAATCATTAACTAACGGTCACTAATGTCTGGGTAATGTTGCTGGTCGTTTCCGAACATTTTGGTCCGCGTAGTCTCGAGCTGTTTGGTCTTTCACACGCTTTTATTTTTTTATCAATTTCTTTTTACTATGTAATTACATTGTCATACGTATGCTTGAAGTTTAGAAACCTGTAGTTTTGTTTGTTGTCTGTTTTATTGTTTTCTTGTTTATGTTTTCTTCCTT